TCGCTGCCGGCTCGGGCAGGCAGGGAGCCGTGACTGGCGCCTGTGGCAGGTGCTGTATGAGGACAGCCGCTTGGTCAGCCTGACCGCTCCCTACGTGTCCGGCTTCCTGGGCTTCAGAGAGGCGCCCTTCCTGGCGGACGCCGTGCAGCGGCTGCGGGAGAGGGAGCCCCAGCTCCTGCCGCAGGTGCCGGGGTGGGCGCCGGGCGCCCGGGAGCGGAGGGCCGGGTGGGCGCTCCCTGACGTCCGCCGCGGTCCTTCCAGGTTCTTCTCGTGGATGGAAACGGGGTGCTGCATCCCCGAGGTGACTGCCCGGCGTCAGCCTGCGCGCCCTCTGCCTCAGCCTGGCCCCACCCCGCCTCCCCGTGCCCGCACCCCGGGCGCCCCGTCCGGCGCTGACCTGGGGCGCAGCAGCCTCCCTCCCTGTCCTGTCCTGCAGCCGTGGGCGGGCCGAGGGCACCGCCCCCACCTGCCTGGCCCCAGCCTCGGGCAGGAGGGCTGAGCGCAGAGGCTGTTGCCGAGGGCACTGGGCAGAGTCTGGGCTCGGCCGCTGCCGGGGGAGCTCGTGGCCAAGCCGAAGAGGGTGTGTCGTGGAAGCGGGGGCCCCGGGGGGAGGTGCCAGGAGGGGAGAGCGGGGTGGGGCTCCTGTGGGGTCCTGGGTTGTCGGGGAAGGCCGTGTCTCCTGCCGGTGAGCTTGGCACGGCCCGCGCAGGCCCGGCCCCAACCCAGCTCGGGGTGAGGGCCGCGTGCCCCGCCTGCCGGCCGCCCCAGCCTCAGCTCTGCCCCTGCAGGTTTCGGGGTCGCCTGCCACCTGGGCGTCCTCACCGACCTGCCCTGCGTCGGGGTGGCCAAGAAGCTCCTGCAGGTGGACGGGCTGGAGAACAACGCTCTGCACAGGGAGCGGGTAGGGCTGGGCGGGCGCCATCCTGGCCCTCGGGGCTGTGCCGCCCCCCGGCTCCCTGTGGGGCCCTCCCGGAGCCCCGCCCCCAGCTCCCCGGCCTCCAGGCCCCGCTGGGCCGCCGCCTGGCACCTGCCTCCGGGGCAGGCACTGGGGACCAGGCGGCCACCCCGGGGCTGGCCCAGGTGCCGGCCTCCTGCCGCGAGGGCGGAGCAGAGGCCGGGGCAGGGCGGTGGGCAGGGTGGGAGGCGGCCGCCAGCCAAGTTCTGTCCCGGGGCTGAGGTCCAGGGCCAGCTGGCCCTGCCTCCGTGCGCATCCACGTCCTCTCTGCAGATTCGCAGTCTGCGCGCCGGAGGAGACACGTTCGCGCTCACGGGCCGCTCTGGGGCCGTCCTGGGCATGGTGAGTGGCCTGCCGAGGCCGTCGAGGCCCCGCGGCTGCCCCTGCCCGGGCCCACGCCTGACCCCGCGTCCTGCCAGGCCCTCAGGAGCCACGCCCGCAGCACCAAGCCCCTGTACGTGTCCGTGGGCCACAGGACGAGCCTGGAGGCCGCCGTGCGGCTGACCCGCGGCTGCTGCCGCTTCCGGATCCCGGAGCCCGTGCGCCAGGTGGGTGGGCCCTGGGCGACTTGGGTCGGGCCTGGTGCCCAAGCCAGCGCCCACCTGGGCTCCCGCGGCCGTGCCCAGGGCGGCCACCAGGTGGCGGTGGCGGCCCGAGGCTGTGGCTTGCTGGGCGCCCCACTCCCGCCTCAGCAGCCTCCGGCGCCCCCTGGAGCCCCGGCTGCAGGGACCTGTGTGACCCCGCCCAGAGGCCCCCGTCCGTCCCCCCACCCGCGCCACCTGGGCCCCTCCCCTCTGTCCCGCCGGGCCTGGAGACACCTGCAGCTCCTGGGGGTCTCCCAGGGCTCTGGGAGAGGGGTGCAGGCTGCCCGCAGGCCTGATTCGCCCCCGCCACTGCTGGGACTCTGGAGGGGTGGCCCCTGCGCTCCCCTGGGCCCTGGGGTCACGGCAGCTGCCCAGTGTCAGGCCTGGGCTTGCTCCTGCGGGCCCGGTGGGGCGGGCGCTGCCGGGCGCCACCCCAGAACACCCTGCCCACCCCACCCTGCCACACTCCTGTCCGCGAAGGGGAGGCCGTCGGGCGCTTCCCGGGCTGTGCTGGCCGGGCAGCGGGGGGCCCGTGTGGGCTGAGCCCTGCCCTGTCGCCCCTCACGCCTGCAGCCTGCCGGCTCACCCCCTCCATCCTGGGGCCGGGGTGGCCGATGCTGCTCGGGGACACAGGTGATGAGCGCAAGTGGCAGCAGCCTCTGAGTGGGAGGTCCGCGCCCCCCGCCCCGACCCAGGCGAGCCCCCAGGCTCAGCAGCGCCCGCGCCTGCTCATGCCTCCTGGGCACTCCGGGTGCCGGGCAGTCCCCCGGGCGCATCCCGAGGCCGGCGGGCTCCGGCCAGCTCGTCTCACTGAGGCCCCCCCAGGCTGACATCCGCTCCCGGGACTTCATCCGCAGGAGCCTGGGCAGCCCCGGGCCGGCCCGGGCCAGGTGAGCTCCGCAGGGCCATTTTGGGGCACGCAGACCCCCGAGGGGTGCAGAGCCGCCCGTGATGCGCCCCACTGCGAGGCCGAGCCGGGGGCTCTGCAGAGGGCTGCAGGTCAGCGGGAGCGCAGGCCCTGGCGCTGCACAGCAGCCCTGTTTTGTGCCCCGTGCCTCAGTTTCCCATCCATGCAGCAGGTGCAGCCGCTGTCCTGTGGCCTCACGGGGGGTGGGGGGGCGGCACGGTGGGCCTAGCAGTGGGTCTCTCGCTCCTCACCAGAGAGTCCCCACCCCCAGGCGCGGGGCATCACAGCCCCGACTCCCCGGGCAGTGCGGCCCTGTCCCCTCGGACCGGCAGCCACAGCCCCCGAGGGCGGCCGTGCGGGGCACCAGGGGCTGCCGCTGCTGGGCTGGCTCTGACCCTCCCCGCTGACCCTACCCGTGTCGTCACCAGGAGCCAGAAGCCACAGAGGCCCAAAGCGAGCCCCAAAGGAGACTCGGAAGAGCCCGCGGGCAACGGGGGGCCCCCAGCCGCCCAGTGAGGCCCCAGGCTGCCCCGGAAAGGCACAGACCCAGGCGCCCGGCTGCAGGGGGCGGTGGGCCCGGAGCTGAGCCGCCCTGCAGGCCCTCGCCGCCCCCACCCGGACAGAGGCCCGCCTCCAGCGGGCAGGGAGCCCCACCGCTGCCAGGGCGCAGGCCGCCTCCCTGCCCGCGAGCAGCCCGGCGGCCCAGGGGCCGAGCCCGCCGCCCGCCCCTCTGGCGTTTGAATACAGGCGCTGCTGCTTTCTCTGACTTTGGCTGCTGTTCAGTTTCATACCGGCCCAGCCACACCGGTCACTTCCAGTCTCCTGAGTCTCAAGAAGTAGCGGGGTACATGGCCCCCCCGCGCCCTCCAGGCTGCTGGCTCCCTTGCCACGGTGCCCCAGCGCTGTCTGGGGCCAGACACCTGCTTCCCAGGTTCGGGGAGACTTGCAGGAGGGGCTAGGGTGCCCTCAGCTGCCACGCTCCGGTTCACACCCCTGAGCCCCAGAATGCAGGCCGGGCCGGGCTGGCCACGCCGAGGTCTGGGTCCTGGCGGCGGTGTGCACCCCGGGGCCTGCACGCCGAGCGCCCTCCGGAGAGAGGCCCGAGCCTCTGGGCGCCGCCCGCACTCTGCCGTGGCGCGGGGCCCGTGTCGCCCGTCCGGCCTGGGGGGGCCTGGGCCGCCGCTCGTCCCGGACGACCGCGCTGCCCCCCGAGTCTGCCCGAGCTGACGGCGCCGGCTGCCTGCGCAGGGCGATTCTTGCCGTTTCTGCCAGGCGAGAGCCGCTGTTCTGGATCAGTCTGGGCCTGAGCAGGTCTTGGGGCCGGGTGGTCAGGGTGGGTAGCGGGGCGTCGTGGGCTGTCCTGACCCGGGGGCTGGCTGCGGGACGGGGTGCCGCGCCTGGCGTGGGGGCTGGGGGAGGGGGGCGGAACCCAGAACTAGGAGGGCTAGGCCCCCGGCGCCAGGCCTGCGAGGGGAGACGCAGCTCAGCAGCTCGCCCAGCCTGGGGCCGCTGCGGATGCCGGTGCAGCCAGAGCTGTAGACAGCAGCCCCGGGTGGGGACCAGCGGTTGGCCGCTTGTCGGAGACCCAGAAAGCAGGGCGCCGGCAGGTGGGGGGCCGCGGCGCCCAGCCTCCCTCGCCCTGGCCCTGCCCGCACCCCGGCTCAGTGCAGGGGGCACCGGAGCCCCAAGCGTGCTGGCGTCTCCACGCCTTCCCACAGAACCTTAAAATAGGGCCGAGATGACGTCCGTCTCGCAGACCACAGCCCGTCCCAGGCCGAGAATAGGTCTCGGGCTGCTCAATAATTCACACCGGCTCCAGTGGACTGGCGGCGCCCTCCCGTCCACCCAGCCCCCACCGCGTCCTCCCTTCCCTCGGGGCACCCAGGGGTGGGAGAGGCCCACGAGGAGGCCAGCCGGGCCTGGCTCCCCACCGCACCCTCCTCTGGCCTCGCCCCTGCCTGATCTGGCTGCTTGGGCCCTTCCGCCCGCTCCGGCCGGCCTCTGCCCAGGGGGGCCGCGCCCCCAGAACCTTGCAGCCCAGCTCCAGCGAGGGCTCTGCCTGGGGCGTCCCTGCCTCCCGACACGCCCCGGCCTGTGGGGACACTGGGGAGGGTCCCATCCGTGGTTCCGGCCCGCAGCCTCGGCCCGCAGGCGGCGCCTGGCGAGTCTCCTCGCCCCTGGCGCCCCCCCGCCCCGCTGCAGCCGGAGGATCCGCGTCTCTGGGATGAGCAGCGCTGTCTGGCGGCGGCGTCTGCTCCATGGCCCCCCGCCCCGGCTGCAGACACCCTCCCCTCACCCGTCGGCCCAAACTGACCGCCTCGGCTGCGAGGCGGCAGGGTGCTGCCGGGAGGTGCCTGGGGAGCGCGCACTTGCAGCGGGGGCAGCGCAGCCCAGCGGCCGCCCAGCCCGGCCGTGTGGGGTTTTAATGACTGACCGAAGGCGCAGGCCCGCGGCGGGGGAGTGACGGGGGCCGGGGGGCCGCTCTCCCCACCTCCCCTCCGGGGCAGGAGCCCATCGCTGCGGGTGGTGGCAGGGCCATGGGGCAGCGTGGGCATGCAGGCTGAGGCCGGCACAGCTGTCCCCGGACGGGGCGGGGAGGACCCAGCCCAGGGCCCCAGAGAAACAGGAACGCGGACACAGGTGCCCCCGAGAGGCAAGTGCGGGGGAGCACTGGCAGCCCCAGGGGGTGAGGGCAGCTGCCCCGGACAAGGAGACAGAAGGGCTGGGCGGAGAGCGGGCCGAAGGGCGCGGCCTGAGCGTCTGTTCAGCTACTGCAGTCGCTCCCGCGCCGGATCGGAGCCGTCAGCCGCCGGGCCTGTGGCCACATCGCTTGGTCAGACCCGGACCGTCCATCCTGGGCTGTGCCTCCCAGCGGTGCTCCTGCGTTGGCTACTGCTAGCAGGGTCGTGGCCTTCCCTTCCAACAGGTGCCCGTGTGCCGCGTTCAGGTTCAGAGGTCGCCCTCCGCTGTCTTCTGTTCGGCCGAATCAGGAAGAAACACGCTGCTCGCGGCGGGGGGACGTGGCGTAACTGTTCCTGCCTGGTTACGGCCCTTCGGCCCTTCGTTTTTCCTGGCCTCGACAGTTGCCTTGTGCTTGGGATTTGGTTTATTTTCTTTGCACTCATTACTTGCTTCCCCCCAGCCCTGCATTGGAAATAGAAATCTCTTGGTCAATGAAAAACATCAGCCCACCTACAGACTCACCTTTGCTGCACCTGTGGTGGCCAGCCTCTGAGGGAGCCCGGTGACCAGTCCCCTGACCACGTTCAAGCCTGTGGGCATGGACAGCCAGGACAGGTGCAGAACTGGGGAGGTCACTTCCAACACAAGGCCTTGATGGCCCTTGCCTCCTCTGTTCACGAGGGAAACACCGGCTGTGTCCATCCCACCAATGGCCAGGGCCAGCCTGTCCCCCAGAGTGTCATCCGCCCCTCCCGGCCTCCAGCAGGGCCTAGGGGACGCGGGGATGGTCTCCATCTCCCCAACACCCGTCCCTGCAGCCGCCTGTCTGTCCAGCTGTTCATAGCCACCCGCTGGGTCGCTCCTGAACTGGTCACTGCTGGGAGGGGCTGGCCCCAGTGAGGGGAGTGGCTCGGGCTGGTGTTCTTGGGTGGAACCAAGGCACAAAGGGCGCCCTGAGGGCAGGTCCTGAGGACTGGGCAGGGCAGGCGGCGACCAGGGGCTTGGGTAGCTCCTGGGCCCAGTGCTCGGCACCCCTGCAAGAAACTGGCAGCTCAGCAGACACTGGTGAGGGCACCGAGGGGCTTCAGCCCCTGGGCCCCACCATCCTTGCCTGGGACTGGGGACCAGAACCCCCGTTTGCGGGTGTGTGTGGGCAGGAGGCCCTGGCCGAGTCAGCCCCACCCCCACCCCCACAGCGAGGCCTGGCCCGACCCCCCACAGGCAGGGGTGGAGCCTCCTGGAGGACAGGCGGTGGGGTCGTAGCCGGGCAGGAGGCGGCGTCTGGGGGTGGCACCGGTGGGCCAGGCTGCAGGCACATGGGGGCTCGGGCCACTCCAGGGGTCACCTGGGCTCTGATCTTCGTGGCCAGGCAAGCCCTGGGTACCTGGGCAGGTGCCCCACAGGCCCCCGTGCTGACCCCGCCCCACCATTCGCCCCGGCCAGGCCCGTGGCTGCCCCCCCATGACTGACAGCGGCCACTTCCCAGCCCCCAGCCGCGAGCCTCATGCTTATTCATGACACTGACATATGGCGGG